ATTTTCTTTTAAATTATATTATACATCTTTCTTTCTTTTTCTTTTTTTTTTTCTAAAAGGAGAAAATAGAAGAAGATAGAAGAGAGATGACATGATATAGGATGTATTCAAGAAGGATATCGATTTCTCGAAGTAGACCAAGTAGACGAGGATCTACCCTACTTCCCCCCCTCCTCATCCTCCTCCTCCTACTCCTCCTTCTCCTCCGACTTAAATATAATCGATTAATGTTATTTAAACGGGCGTTATTTCTCGCACAGTTTGAAATCTTTCATCGCGGTAAATTTGTTTTTCCTTGCATATGGGTACTACTCTAGCGCGTGCAAAACTTGGGTCTTTTATTAATGTAACTTTTGTTCATACCCGTCGCGCTGTTGCACTTTAATTAATGTCGCCCCCTTCGTTTGCCAGCGGCAGGTCTAAAAGACTCTCGACTTTTCGCTACATTTTTTTCCCCCCGCTTCTTTTTTTCCTTTTTTTCTTTTTTCTTTTTCTTCTTCCTTTTTTCTTCTTCTTTTTTTTTTCCTCCTTCTTTTTCCTTTTTCTCGGTTCCTTCTAATTAATTTTTCTTTCGTCCGCGTTTTGCTTCTCTCTCTCTCTCTCACTCTCTCTTTTTTTTTTTTTTAATTTTCTTGCTTTTATTTTTCCTTCTCTTTTTCTTTTTTTTTTTTTTATATATATATATATTTCAATTTTTTTATTTCCCGATTTAACAAGATCTGTAACTATCGCGGGGGAAGGGGGGAGGAGCGAAGTCTCACTCGAGTGCCATGTTGAAATTGTCGAACGTTATGGTGGACTTTAATTTAACGATGAAAAGAAGATTACTGACTTTAAATGTAATCGAAAGAAAAATGCTTAAGAGTCGGCGATTTATATGCAAAAAAAAAAAAATGCTAATCTACGAAAATTGTAAGTAAATCTTGAATATTAATTGTAAATACGGTTGATTCTCTATAGAAATTATTAATGCGCGAATTTCCGTAACACGATGAAATTTCTCGCGACCACTTCTTTTTTCCACATTACGCGATTCATAATGTACGATAGAAAAATGTTTTAATAAAATTACGTTATATTACGAGAAATATTTCTCGCATATACAAATTTCATTTACTTTAATCGAAATAAATGTTTGGTCTATTTCGTAATTATGCGTTCTTATATATATATATATATATTTTTTTTTTAAAGGTAAATTTTTTCTCAACATACATCTGATATATCATGTAATATAATACGAGGAAAAATTTATGCGTAGAACACGATTTATGGCAACGCGAATTAATTATATAATACGCTTAACTTATTAAACACTACATTACGTGATAAACGTAATTGTATCACATTCGCTAACAAATTATTTAATTGGGATTAATCAAATACAATATATTATACTATCTATGCAGTAAATAAAGTACAGATAACCTTCCAATAAAATGGTAGATAAGTTCGTAGAAAATTTCGTGTTATATGAGACACTAAAAGTTCATTATTTCTTCGCGTCATTATTTTTTAAATACGTTAAACAGAATCACATTATCCAGTGCTGTAAAAATATAAACTATTGTACAAAGGTTTTCACAATTTATTAATCATGTTATAACAAAACAGTACTATAAGATACCTTGTTGTAAGAATCATTTAATAACGAAACCGTGTTATAGTATTATCACCTGTATGAAGAACAAGTAAAGAGATATCCAATTGCGAAATATGAAAATATGGCGATAGATCGGATCGATAGATATTTTTGTGTCGACGCTATGAAATATAGAAAAAAAAAAAAAAAAAAGAAGAATGAACGGGGTGAGAGGGAATATAAACCAGGGAGGGTGGTCCAAAACGGAGGTAGCGTAATTTGCCTCTAATGCGGCACTCGACGTAGAGCAGCTGGCTCGCCGGCCCTCTGCTTTCCATTCGCCACTCGGCCGCGCAACAGTAGCGATAATACTAACAATGCTGCTAACAATGCCAGGAGTGGCCGGGCATTGTAACAATAGGGGGCTGCACTTGGAGTAACAATGCAAGCGCAAAATGGAAGGACGCATCTGTGTGTCCCGTGTCAAAGAGACGCCAATGGAGAGAGACCGAAAAAGAGAGACCAAGAGAGACCAAAAGAGAGAAAGAGAGTGTGAGAAAGAGAGAGAGAGAGAGAGAGAAAAAACGTACGTAAGGAGAGAGAAATGTTCTATGGATACTAGGATAAAAGAAATATGAAGAGAAAAGGAAGAGTGCGAAGTCTGCGCGTAAGCTCGGAAAGGGGTGAGTGTAAAAGCATTTTCTAAATTTCTCTCTCTCTCTCTCTCTCTTTCTTTCATTCTCTATTCGTATTTCGCATCTAAATCGGTCCAGAAGAAAGATATCGACACAAGTCATTTTTCGATATTATTTTCCCTTCGAATCGAATCGCCTTCCTTTTTCTTATTTTTTTTTTTTTTTTGTATTTCTCTTTCTCTTCTACAAATTCACTATCAAACTTTGATAACAACAATTCGTTTCGACTACTTTTAGCATATTCGCGATATATAACTTTGTACGTAGATTTCGAGTGATTCAGATTGTTAGTAGTAGGTACTCTTTATTGCGTGTTGCCAGCTTTTTGCGTGTGAGTTTACACATATACTCAGCATACGAAATCGTTACTGTGGGACGAGCCGCTCGTTTAGCATCTATTTGTCTCCAGAAGTTCAAGAGTCTGTTCTATATACCTACGTATAATATATAGACATGAATAGTACAAGAGAGAGAGAGGGGGGGAGAGAGAGGGAGAGAAATATATATATATATAAATTCAGCAGCTCTCAGTCTCCATCGTCTCCCTCTCATCCTATCCCACATTTAACTCGTACACCACACGGCAGACTTTCACCGTCCCTCGGTAGTGTTTTCCTCGTGGCCTTCATGGCCGCCATTCATGGCTCCGAGCAAGATCCGAGTGCCATCGAGAGAGTCTGAAACTCGTTAACGAAACTTATGTACCATCATTTCTGGCGTGGCGCGTTCAAAATCAGCGCTTGATTGCAATCAGGCTTCTTTGGGTGGTATTCCGCTCTCGATCGGGTGATTCTCGCGAGTCAATGGTTTCCAAAATAGAAACTTGAGAGTTAAGCAAGCACATCGAGATGACGTTGTCTATATTGTGAGAAACTTACTCGAAATCTTTCTTTCAATTGCATCGCTTCCCCTCGAACGTAAGAAGTAGGTATTTGAATTTTGATTAATCGTCAAACAATAATGCGAGAAAAAAGTAATGTGTGAAAATAGGATGGACAATGTGTATATGTTTACTCATTGAGATACGAAAGAATTACTTACGACGTCTTAACGTTCACATTATCGACGGATAAACGAGTTGGTAGTCGCGTCGGCATTTATTAAAAGGATCGTGGGTAGGCCGGAGATCGAGCGACAGATGAAGAGAAGAGAGAAAAAGAAGAAAGAGAGAAAAAGAGAGAGAGAGAGAGAGAGAGATAAAGTGCAGACGGAACGATAGACTAAACGAGGGGGAGAGCCCATTTCTGCATGGCACGAACGCAGGATGCGGCCAATGAGCTACGCAACAATTATTTATTGTTACCAGACTGTCGCAACGACGTGACCGACGACAGCAACCAGACCTGTCTGACCAATAAAGAGATAGCTCGTTACGATACATGACCATAGTCACCGCCATTATTTTTCTTTCTTACGAAGAATAAGGAAAAACATTATCGAATTTTGATTTATTCGTATAATCGACAAGAAAATGATATCTATTACTTAAATGAATAAATATCATATATATTTCCTTTCTTATGGAATCTTTAATCACTTATAATTGTTTCCCTTAACTTTGCAATCACACTTACAAATGTTATAACTAATTGATCAATGAAGAGTTACCTCAATGCGAGATCATAGCAATTATCATAATACCTATCAATTTCTTACAAAATTACTAACGAATCCGTTTGATTCAAATAATCAAATACGAAATTAATTTGTTCGATTAAAAAAAAATTGTTTTTTTCCGACGAAGCCTTGAATTTTCTAGTATTATTTTTCCCCTAAATTCTCTATCGCATGCATATTGTGAATTGTACGCTTAATCCAGTTAGACCATGCAGTGTCAAGAGTTTTTCTTCGATGTAAGTAGATAGAGCAAGCAAGCAAGCGAGAAAGAGAGCGAGAGCAAGTGAAAGAGAGAGAGAGAGAGAGAGAGGAGAGTGCCAAGAGATTTTTCTAATTAGCGGTAGTCAAGTTTATCGATTCGTAGAGGTACTCATACGACTCGCGCGTCCGACAACTATGCTTCTTTGGCAGAAGTTGCCTCGTAATTCTGTCTCTCTCTCTCTCTCCCTCTCTCTCTCTCTCTCTCTCTCTTTGAGGAAGGGAGGAAGAAACAAAGGGCATCGACGGAAAGCAAGAGAGAGAGAGAAAGAGAGAGAGCGCAACATGGCACCCACGTCTCCCCGAGGTCGATCGATCCGATCGGACGAGAGGTAGAGAAGGCGTGCGCGTACGTGCAGCATCAACCACCTGGTTGCGGCAATTAATCTCCTCTCAGCAATTAATCCTCGACGTGGCGATGTGCCTACGTTATAGGCTGTAGGTATGCAGTTAGGTTGCGCTCTACTAGCATACGTACGTAGATGGGTTGAGAAGAGTAAGTAGGTAGAGGTAGAGGTAGATATGTAGTATACATATATATATAAATACGTACATTACGTTGGTACCTTGCTCAAGTACCATGTCGTGTAGGTAGCTCTATGTTTAGTTCCAATCGAATCGAGCGGAACATAACGGAAACTGAGGAAAGAGTGGCAACATCGCGTAATAACAAAACGTCCTCCATTTTTTTTTTTTTATATCTTTTCTTCGGGTGAAAATTTGTCGAAAAGTTCAAAGTTAAAAAAGATAAGTGCAAAGAAAGAAAGAAAGAAAGAAAATAAGGGAAAGAGAGAGAGAGAGAGAGAAAGGAAAAGAAGAAAAAAAAGAGTTAAAGAGTAAGTACTCACCTGCGTTGGCGAGAGATGAATGAGGGAAGCAAGATGCTCCCTTTCGGGCGCGCTTAGGTACTTTTGCTGCTTGAAGCGCCTTTCGAGCTCGTAGACCTGGGCCTGGGTGAAGAGAACTCGACGCTTCCGTCTCTGGGCAAGGGGAAATTGCATCGTACCGACGCCCATACCAACGTTCATTCCGACCCCAACGCCAACGCCCATGCCAGAGGATTTGGTAACGTCGCCCATCGACTGGCCCACCGAGCACCCGGCCACATTGGCCCCGGCGCCCGCCGCCGCAGCGCCCATTAGCCGCGAGACTGCAAAACATATTGGAGAAATCGAGGATAAACATTTTTCAATCGTTCATACGGTTTCTTAACTGCTATTATTACAAAATATCATTTTTTTGTACTATCTATTGTTAAATTATAATCAATGCAATATTATTCGACGACTTGTTCTAATTGAATTAAAATAGGAGATGGTATATATGAAAAGAAAAGAAAGGAAAAATAGTGAAGGAGGGTCATCATCGACATAGACAAAAAATAAAAAAAATAAAACAATAAAAAAAAAAAACTTAAAGTCGTTCGTAGAACTTCGTGGAGGCAACGGCGAAAGTGGAATAATCTTTGGGAAGAACTTGAAACTCCATGGACTCGTGTGATCGTGGCTACTGAAATTCAACGAGCCGATCGTCCCTCGTCAGTTAGCGAGAAGCTGTCAAGAAGGAACGCGCCACCAGGACCGTTCGGACAAAAGGAACGATTTCAGGATACAAAGTGCCGCGTCATCACGAGAACCCGGGAGGTCTGAGAAGATATCCCACAGGAATTATTATCTACTCTCTCCTCTGCTCTTATCGAAGGAGGAAGAGGACAACCGAGAAGAGTGCTCACTCGAATGCAGGAACAAACGACTCTCGAATATGTTTACGGTCGAACATTTAATGTGTATTTTCATATCACAATTTGCATCGCTTCATCTCTTGATGAAAATATAACGCATGAATTTATTTTTTTATTTATTTTTTTTTTTCTACAAATTTCCATCTCTTATATTATATTTCTATGTTGTTTCAAAAGTCAAGTAATGACAGTGTGCTCCTGCATTTGCAAAAGTTATATAATTTTTCTATTTAATTGTAAGTTAGTATAGTGGTTACTGGGACTCTATTGAAATTGTGAAAAATGAACGATTATTACGAATAACGGAGAAATTCTCTATCGACAGGTTCGTATCGTTTTTTTTTCACGATGCAACGATGAAAGGCAGCTTTTATCCTAGACCGATCGACACCGAATGAGAACAATGGAAACACAAAAGTAGTGACTGACGAGTCGGTAGATGAATGTTTCACATCAATGTAAACCGAATCTCTGATAGGAAAGAAAGATTTTCGTTGATGAACGAACACAACGCGTTTGTAAAAAGCTCATTGAATGAATCGACGATTTATATTCTTTGTTTCATTTGATTTTATTTTATAATTTCTTCAGATAAATTTGATAGAAATTAAAAGAAATATTCGTATGTCTACTCTATTATCCTTTGAAGAAGGTCCATCGTGAGTTAAGGTTTATAGAAAATCGAATTTCGGCGAGATGTGCTCGAGGTACGGTATCCTCGACTTAAGTCTCCCTTTTACTCGAGGATACCGGAGCTTATTTGTTTAACTAAAATCTCCCATACGATAGGCAAAGATCGATAGAAAGGGTCGTTCGGCTCCCGTTAAGCCGAGATGAAGAGAGTGGCGCGTGCGAGAGAAAGAGAGAAGAAGAAATAAAAAGAGACGAGGAGTGTCCGAAGGATGATGTCCTTCGATGCTAAGAAGAAGAAAAAGAAGAAGAAAGTTCTTTTGTAGTGCTTGAAAGGCGAAATTTGTGGGACGGGTGTGAGACCTACCTATTATTTATTTCTTCGCGAGTGATTTTCTATTATTGTCGATCGTTTGTTTGAGGGAGAGAAAAATAGAAAAAGAAGAAGGAAGATAGTAGGACTTTTAAAAGCTGGATCGAGCGAGGGGAAAGATATGACATATATAGGGTATAATAAAAAATATAGTAAGAAAAAAAAAGCAAAGCGCGTTAGGTAGTAGGTACTCACTGGCAAAACGGGGATCGTTGGTGGCCGGCGGTGCTGGGGCGTACCAAGGATGATGATGAGTCGAAACGGCATGAGATCTTATAGGATCGGCAACGGTGGCAGTACCGGCTACGGTGGGTCCGGCATGATGGTACGGAGAAAGTTCGGCAGTACAATACTGATATTGCGAGGTGAGCTGCATCGTGGCGTAAGGATTACCCATGGCGGTCATACCCGCTGTACCAACAGCACTTCCACCAACCGCACCTCCGGCTCCGGCACCGGCGGCAGTTCCGGCGGTGCCGGCGGTACCGGCGCTACCGTTCCCGGCGCTCCCGGTAACAGGACCGGGCGTGCTACCACCGGGCGTCGAGCCGCCGTGAAGCGGCGGACTCCCGCTGCTCGCGCTTGAACTTCCGGTGTTACCGGCGACCCTCGCGCCGCAGGCGTTACCGTACGGTGAGCCCTGGGGGTGGCTAACGACGCCTACTCCAACGCCGACGCCGACTCCAACTGCCGCGGCTGCTGCTACGAGATCGAACTTTCTATAGGACTCCTCCATCGGCGAGAGGATGTCGGTCACGCTGAACGGTGTCGTGTGAGCGCCGCCCCCGGCTTGCACGTGCGACGAGTGTTGCTTTGGGGAAAGGCTTATAGCTAAATCGATGCTGTTTAAATCCGGCAGGAGGCTCGCCTGCTCTAGCTGCGTTTGTTGTTGCTGTTGTTGCTGTTGTTGTTGTTGTTGCTGCTGTTGCTGTTGTTGCTGTTGTTGTTGTTGTTGTTGTTGCTGTTGTTGATGTTGATGATAGGTAGTTGCATTTCCGCTCGCCTGATTACCGGCGCCGTTTCCGCTGGCACCGCTAGCTCCACCGCCGCCGCCGCTGCCACCGCTCATCTCGGCGAGCCCAACGCCGTCGAAATACTTGAAGCTCGTGCTTCGCGGAATCGTGAGGCCGGTGCTAGTCGCGAAAACGGCGCGACATGAGGAGTAGTAATAGGAGGAAGAGGAAGCGGAGGAGGAGGAAGCGGAGGATGGATAGCGATCTATCGCGACGGTACCGTAGCTGCCGCCACGCTCGCCAGCGGGCAGCGGCTCACCTCGGAGGCGGTAATCCTCGCGGTAATCCTCGCGGTAATCCTCGCGGTAATCCTCGCGGTAATCCTCGTGGCCGAAAATTTTCGCGGACGTAAAAACACGTTTATGGTGTCACTCACTGACTCTTCGACTCGACACTTGGCACATTTTTTTCTTTTATGCATTCACGATGGCGTTCACCTTGACACGATGTTCACCTTAACGACGACATAGACGACCAAGGTGATAATAAAATGTTAGCCCGCGGACCGATCGTCAAACGATCGTTTCTTCTCACCGTCGCCATGTCGTCGTTGTTGTCGTTRTCGTCGTCGTCGTCGTTATCGTATTTCCAAACGACGGATGGCAAAGTGTAACGATAACTCGAGCACTCAACACTCACTCGCGACGTAACGCGATGGAACGCGACGGTCGGCGGCCGAGGAGGGAGCAGAGTGGCCGGCGAGGCCGGCCGCCGACCGACTGAAATCACTCGCGGTCCTCTTCGAGTCCTTCGACCCTCCGTAGATGTACACCACTCTGCTCTTTACCTCCACCTTCCTTCTCGTTAGGAAAGGAGCGAATCTATGGATGGATAGATGACTGAAGAATGGCTGGCTGATTAGATGGATGGATGGATGGATTGAAAGACTTTCGCTGGTGTGGCTCGACTCGGCTTCTTAGCCCGGCTTGAGCCGGCTTTCGCCTCGTCTTGCCTTGACACTTTGTTCGTTGGCCCTCGTTAGCGAGATGGTTGGCTAGCTGGTTGACTAGATGGCTGGTTCGTTCGCGCGCTCAGTTGTTTACTTGCTTGCTTCCTCAAATAGATGGTTGGATGGATGGATGGATGGATGGATAAATGGATGGATGGATGGATGGGTGGATGGATGAATGAATGAATGGAGAGGACTGTCGGGTACTCCTGGAGAGGTCCTCACGGCCGCTTAGACCCACTCGACCGGCGCGCTCGGCCGTTCGAGCTCGGTCGCTCGGTCGCTTGCTGCTGCTGCTGCTGCTTGCTTGCTTGCTCGCTCACTCACTCGGTCGGTCGTTCGTTCGGTCGGTCGGTCGCTTGCTTGCTCACTCGCTCGCTCGCACGCTCACCCGACCCGAGAGCGGAGGCTCCACAGGCTCTCGCGGAGAACCCGTACGACGACACGATGAGTGGAGTGCCCACTACGGAGAAGTGCCTGCTACCAAGAGTCGTGATGAGATGTCCCCTTTTGCGTGTGAGAGAAGGGCTTCCACTCTCTCTCGGGTGGGTACAGCCGCGCGTGGAGAGGGGCACACGAGAGACTCTCTGATGTGCTCCTTCATACGCCCTCCCACCGAGAGAGCTTATCTTTATGTCTCTTATCCACTCGGCCACCGCCATTGGCGGTGGATATCCGTGAGGCGTGCCCAAGTACGACGATTGGTTCGCAACCAGCCACGCCGAGACGTGCGATCATTCGCCGCCTAGTATGTTCCTACGTCTCGTTGGTCGCAACTTTCCTCCTATCAGTGGATACTATGGCCGATCAAGTCACACCCAAACCCACCCCTCTGTGCTCCAATTGAACCACCGCCCTTCCACCCTTTCTTCCTTTCTTCCTTCCCTTCTTCCTTTCTTCTGTCTGTCCTTCTTTCTTTCGAAGACGACCGCGGATCCGGGAAAGTCTCCATGAGAAACCAAACGAAACTAGAAACGTTCTGATCGCGTCCTCGATAAAATATTCCTTGACGTACGTTCCGTATTCGACGGTTGGAAATAATTCATTGCTCCTTTTGTCCTTTTCTTTCCTATACTCGTCGTGTGTTTCGAATTTTTTAAAGCAAAAGTAGTGTGAAACGTGTATTGTGCGTTTTTTCATCTTACAAGTTATTTCCACGAAATTAACGATCAGAAATACAAATTTGTGTTAAACGTATTTAAACTTATGTAAGAACTAAAAGCGAAAGGATTTATGGTTTTCGGCATTACGACTTCTCTTTTGTTTCTTTTGTGAAGTGTTACGTACATCTCAAATAATGGATGTACTTATTAAAAGAACTTAAATCATTATTATTTTCGTTCGTAACTAATCAAATCTAAATTAACGAGGAGAATAATTTTGTAAGAATGGAATACGAGGTTTTCTTCTTAAGATTTTATTTATAAAATATTTCTTCAAAATCAATCTTGACTTTTATGACACTTTTTATAACTTTTAAATATTTGAAATAATGAAAAAGAAGAAAAATTTTCATCGAAAAAAAAAAAAAAACACAACGTGAGAAAAATAATGTTCTACTTGACTAATAATTCAATTCTTGTTTGAAAAGTGCTTGGATCGACATCTGTGAGATAAACTACGTATTAAATTTATTTTCTGAACTGTAGCACCATCTATGATACTCTAAATTTATCAGTACTAATTCATAACCTCTTGTTTTACTTCTTCTTCACCAAAGAAATGGCATCTTCTATATTGAGATTTATTAGAACATTTCATTCTTTCCAGAATTATCAAGTCGTGGAAAATGGTACTTATATTTTTCAAAATTATCTCTAGCATTATATATATATATATATATATTTTTTTTCCTTATTATTATTCTTTCATTATATTATCAAGTTGTCATATTTGACTCTTTCATGTTCTTTTAGGTAGCAAAATTGTCTCTTTCATGTATAATCATAACTTTTTAAAGACTCATATTCCTATAAACAACAGCATACGGAATACATCATTTTTTAATAAACGTAAGTAATAATTTTTTCATTAACTTTTAACATACTTCTTTAATTAACATACTTCTCTCATACATTTAACAAATGTATAGGTCCTGCTGAACAGTTATGGAAAGGTGTTACTAGCGTTAGTAATGCAGGAAAACGGAGAGGTAGAGCACGTGGATTGGCAAGAAAAAAGGATTTGAACAGGGGTCAAGTTATTGGCCAGGGAAAAATACCAATACAGTTTCCTGGGTTAAATGTACCAGTTATTCATGGAAAAGAGATATTGCAACAACATAAACTTCCCGAAGATCCTGAAAGACAAGAGAAGCTTATTAAATTGCGTGATTCTATGTCAAAAGCGAGACGTATTAAATTGTCTCCTTTGGAACGTGGTTGGACGAGTTATAGACCTGGAGGAATGAAAATAGGTCCTCCTGAACCAGTCGGCGATGGTACTATTTATTTCTTTTTCATTTCCACACAATTTAATATATTTTGTATAATTTAGAATATTATTGTGCGTAGATACATTTGAGGGTTTTGAATCATGGGTACTGGAATGTAAATTAGTTTCTACCATGACTAGTAATCTGGGACGTAAAAGTAGAGTTAGTGCAATGGTTGTAACTGGTAATGGAAATGGATTAGCTGGATATGCTGTAGCAAAAGCAAAAGAAACAAAACACGCTTTAGCTGTAGCCAAAAGAAGAGCTGGAAATAAAGTGGTATTCTTAAATAGATACAACAATCATACTGGTAAGATATATTCCTATTTTAACTTTATTACGTATTATCTAGTTCAGTTAAAATAATATAAATAAGTATTATAATATTTTTATATAAATAATAATTGTTATAACGTTTGATATTGAAGTTGTACATGATTTTTATACGCAATGTGGAAGGACTAAGATATTTGTACACAAAATGTACGAAGGCTATGGTCTTGTTTGTCATAGAGCGATAAAATGTTGTTGTGAAGCAATTGGTATAAAGGACATTTATGCTAAAGTAGAAGGTGCTATAAATTATCAGAATATCATAAGAGCATTTTTCGAGGGTCTCTTAAGACAGGTAAAATTATAAAAAAGAAATTTTTTACGACATTGTACTTAATCCTTTATTATTTGACATACATTATATATTACGTACATATTTATAGAAAACATTCCAACAAATGGCAGATGAGAAAAAGTTACATTTGGTCGAATTTAGAAAAGAAAACGATGATTTCCCTGTCGTTGTTGCTTCTCCGGCTAAAGTAAGAACATCAGATCAAATACAACCAAACGAAATTTTAGATTTTAATCAATATTTAATGAATGGTAAAATTGTATTGAAGAAAAAGAAACCTCCACCATTCTTTACTAAACTTGATTCTTGGGCCGTACGTCTAAAGAAAATTGAACCTCTTAGAAATAAGAAAGATGTTAGAATAAGATTGCTCGCAGAATATGGTGATGTTCGTAGTTTCCTTGCTGATAAATATCCAGAAGCAAGAGCGTTATTATGGTCGAAAAAACGAGTAATGGCAGAAAAAGCAGCGAAGGAGAATCAATAACTTGAGAATATTCTTTCAAGATTGTAGGAATTTGTAATTAGTTATATATTAACTGTAACTAATAACAAATAAAAATAACATCGATCTATTGTTTGAATAAAGAATTTACGAATAAATTAAAATTTTTTTTAATTTGTCACACATTAAAATAAAATAATAATAATTAATTTTGTGATTAAATAAATTAAAATTAAAATAAATTATTGTATATATATAATAAAATTTTATATAAACCATCAACATTTACAATGTCAAATTTTGATTGTTACATTCGCATTTACATAAATAATTACCATTATTTCAATATATTGATATATAAATTTAAAATATAAAATTTCACTCAATACCAAATTAGTATATACAATTAACATATAAAAACAAAAATAATAAACAATGATTTTATATATCGCGTGTGTTATTATTCAAATTAATACATAATTTATTTATCCTTAACCGTCTTTATAAAAGAAAACGTTTTATTCAATAAAAATCTGAAAAAATAATTAGAACATTTAATAGCCAATAAGAATATTTCTTTAAGAAAAATGGGAATATAAATGCAATGCAATTGGTTGATAATTACTGACATTGTTTTCTTAGTAAAATTGATCTGTCAAATCTTTTAAAACAATAATCGAGTAATGGGGTCATCATTAAATTGATGTAAACAATAGTATCTAATGAATAATATGATTTCTAATTATATCAATAAATATTTATTTTCTCTTTATATATATATATATACGTATTCCTAGAATTCAAATGTAACGAGTTGTGTCTCTCATTGCGTCAAACATTTTGTAAATAACTATAGTAATTGCGTGTGTGTATGTGTTGTGTGATCTCATCGTTACCACTAGTTTGTTTTAGCTACTAAATGTTACCATTTTTATTTTCATAATAATTAGATCAATTCTTTTATATTATTCTCCATATTATTTTCACTGCATAGCTATCATACGTAGTATATCCATATATATATTTATATAGTCGAAAATTTTTTTAATCGAGAAACGGTTGTACCTGACGATACATATCGATAGTATCTCGACCACTCAGAAACGGTAATTATCCATCCACAGGATGATTTGGTGACGTCCTATTCAAAGATGGCGGTGACGAGTAAGCCATGTTTTTTGTGATGTTCGTGCAGTAGACAAATTTTTCAGATTTGTAAATCGTATAAGCAAAATGGCTGATGATGATCCGTGGTTATTAAAAGAAGACGGATACTTGAATGTTGACGCCGAGTGTAAAAGCATAATCTATCATGCGAATTTAAATGTATTACTGATTACTACTAGTAAGGCGCAAGTATACGTATTTGATGTTAACTCTGGCGTAATTTTGCAAAGAAGTTCTCTTTCAGGTAAGCATTTCGATCTTCCGACAATTCAACATTTAACTATTAAGATTATAAAACTATCCCTTAGCATAATATTTTATTATGTTTTTTATTTTTAAATCGGTATTCGTTTGAATTTCATGGTCAAGGTCGTATACGTGCGTTGAACAGCAGGAATGATTACAATTTTTTCCGTTAACGTTTTTTTTTTTTCAGATACAATGATCGATTTATAATTGAGACAATACATCTCTATCAATATGTTTAATATTTCTTAAAGAAATAATATTAAATCTATTTCTTCATTGTATTATAACGTGCCAATTAAATTTACATTGTGTTTCCAATCCTTCAGTTACATTTATTTGCTAATTTAATTAAATTTTATTATTATTATTATTATTATTATTTCTACTATTATTTATAATATTTTTGTCACTTACTAATAGATAATAATGATAGCAGTGAAAAACAATTTAGATAACTATAGATAATAACTATACTAGATAATGATTGTGCATTATATCTATGTATTTAATTACCAATTGTCATTTTTTTTCAAGAAGAAACTTAGTCATGTATATTGCTATTTCCTTTTTATCGTATCTAAATAATATGCTAGTATGTAGATAATAACTTTATAATATAATAATATTTAACTTTAATGCTAATCCAATTTGTTTATATATTTTAAAGAAGTAATAAATATAATATATCTAAATGATAATATTAAATATGAAATTCAAAAATATATAAATAATCTTATAATTTTCATATTACATTTAATTTTATCAGGGTTGATTATAAAGACATTTTTTGTTCCTTTAGGTAAACCAAATAAGAAATTACAAGGTATATATATAGCTGATGGCATAGACAAGGTATTATATACTGATGGAAGTGGTATTGGTGTACGTAGCGATTACAATGGTGTCCTATTGTTGGATACTATTTTACAAACTCCTGTCTCACGTAGCGAAGACGTCGTAAAATTAGAACTTTTGCTCTCTGAAGCTACATTATTACATCAAAGTTTGCGACATATGGATTTACCTGGGATTGATCACGTACAAGAAGTTTTACAAGAATTATCGACTAAACTTCTTGCTGCTCAGGTTAATCAAAAGAGAGGTATAAAAGCTCTAAAGGTATGGTTTTCTATATTACAAATTAAATATGTTATTATAAAATTATTCTTTAAAAATTATTAAATAAAAAATTGCATTTATATACTTTACAGTGGAATACAATATGTTTGGAATTACCACATGGATCTTTGAAGTCGGTATGTTCAGGAATGGCCCTGGAATTGAAAAGGCAAAACAAACATATACCAGCATTGCCCATTGCTTGGGCCATTAATGAAAGATTAAATGGCCTATTGCCTACCCTTGTCTTAGAAGGTGGTACTGCCGATAGAGCATTAATGTTTAGTGAAGCAGCACGGCGTGATACATTTTCAAAATGGCCACATATGAATTACAAGTTAGTGTAGTTATAATATAATATTTTATTTCATTTGTGTGTATATAAATGATGTATTAAGATAAATCATGTGGTAAATCATTATGAATAATTATTATTTTATAGATGGGCACTTCCTGATCGGATGGCACAGGCTGGTTTTTATTATCAACCTAATGCATCAGGAGATGATAGAGCAATGTGCTTTACATGTAAAGTTTGTTTGGTTTGTTGGGAACCAACGGATGAACCATGGTCGGAGCATGAAAGGCACTCCCCTGCGTGCCCTTTTGTTAAACGAGAATATACACAGAATGTACCATTATCTGTTACTCTTGCAACTGCTCCAGCACGTGAATCTAGCAATGTAGATATTATAGGAACAACAAATGTTTCTGGCTTAGTAGCTACAGCTTCATGTAATGGTCATGTTAATGTTTGGAATGTAATGAACCAATTAAAGGTAACATTTTAATACTTAAAATAATATGTTATTAAAACATATTGTAATATTGGCTGATTATGCTTATAGGGTGAGGTAGCGTTTTACATTGCACCTTCTGATCAAGAAGTGAATAATAAAGAATCCATACAGTTTTCCGCTACAAGGAACTTGACCTCTTCATATTTAACAAATCTTGGTTCAGATTCTGACCTACTTTCTGATTATAAATCTTTAATGTCGCATAAATTACAATTAACAGCGCTATCAATAGTTGGAGCTCCTAATTCTATTAAGAAAGACTCTAAAAGTGCTTGTTCAACAACATCATCCGTACAAATGGATACGTCTGATTCAAAAATTAGACCCTGTTTGGTGTGTGGTGTTACAGTGACAGTGACTAATCCTTCTCAGTTGAGAACTTTAGAAAATGTGTGGTCGTCATCAACAGATCTTGCTTCGTCATCATCACTAGTACGAGCAATGAATAGTGTAAATAGTGCTGCCAGTGATACATTGGATATAATGAAAGTTGCGGGTGATAGGTATGCCCCTTCAAAGTCTCATTACTTAGTACTTTATGATTTTCATCACAAAGCAGTATCAACACAATCTACAAAGGAAGAAAATTCTAAAGATTCAAAAAATAAAAAGACTCTCTCTGGAACTGGAACTAGTGCTAGCTCAAATGGTGAAAGACAAGAAAATTTGTATCCAGAGCTTTTCCTTGGTAAATTTTTATATGAAGTACCAGTTATTGAAGATGTAGATTCGGATACGGTTGTCGGATCGCATTTTGATGGTACAGTTTCAACAACTGTACTTACCGCATCATCTTCCAATGGTATTTACTCTACGCCAATAGGAATGACAGTTCCATCTACTGTAAGTCCATTCCATGCTGTTAATTTAAATACCAATAATGGAGTAGAACAATTTGCATCAACATCTGATTTAACGGCAAACAAAAAACCTATTGATATGTTAAAAATGTCAAAGTCAGAACCAGTAGTTATAAAAACAGTTTCTATCGATGCACCGGATAATCTTAAAATTACATCCATTATACCATTTAAGGATGGAAGATACTTATATGTTGCAATGTGTCCAATATTAGAAGATACTGTTAGCGATTCTTCTCTTACTTCTATTTCTACAAAAATGGAAATTGACGAGGAGCGTACATTCTTTCCACAAAAAAGTTATATGTACTGGGATCATCATGAAACTGGAAGATTAATGAATGGTGAAATACGTAATAATGCAGACAATACAAATGTTGTTCTACTCGTTTATGCTTTGGATTTCTCAGGAAAAGTAGTCAGAGTTGCATCAGAACCTATAATTAGAAGAGAATTATCTTCTGAACAAGCTCCGATTGAACATGTGCTATTACCAATTCAAGAAAAAAATACAGATACATTACACGGAATTAATGCTACTACTAATTCTTCCACTAATTCTAGTGTTCAAGAACCATCTGGTCAAATAGCTCTTGTATGTAGAGATGGTGTGATCAGATTATTGAATCTAAGTACCTTAAAAACTGTCAATGAAGCTAAATTAGATAGTCGCAAATTCATCTCAGCAGCATATTGTAACAGTATGTTTTAATTTACATCAGTAAAATTCGCATAAATTCATATACAATAAAATTGGTTTAAAAATGATTATAATTTAAAATTGTTGTGTAGGTTTAGAGAGATTGTGTGCATGCACTGACGATGGAGCACTTTACTTTTTTGTTACTTCAGAAGAAGAAAATTTTACAGAAGACAAAGAAGACATCGAGGATGTTAATATGGTTATAGAAGATGGTTGCACCAATGTACAGTATGTATATAAAAATATAA